AGTTTGATATCCCATCAACTGTTAGTCCTATTTTGAATTTTAACAGATTTGAATTTTAACCCTACCTGGGTCTTCAGAATTTGCTTTGTAAAGTTCTAGTGAACATACCAGGTGGATATGTGTGTTTTAACTTTCTGTGAGTAGGCAGAGTAAATCCTGGTGGATGAGTAAGGCAATTGTGAGAATTACTTATGCTCAGAGGGGCAGAAAATGCATGTGAATCCCAAACTGTTCTGTCTTTACAGTACAGTTTTGTAGTGGAGCACTGTTGAAAACTTAGCAAATGTATGTGGCTCATAGAGCAAAGTAAGTAGATACGGGTGCTTGTGCAGTCACTCGGAGAAACTAATTGTCACTGTTACTGCTGCCAATCACCAGACCCCTTTCCCTTGCTTAGAGCTCTAAGGCCAACATATACCGCATGGATCCCTAGTCTAGTATCTTGCATTATGTTGGCAAGTCTAATACCACAGTCTAATACCACTAATGCTGCGTAACTGGAGCAAGAACAGTTATCTAGAAAATGGCACTTGTCAGCAGTTCATTGGGACTTTGCAAACATGCTGCTGTGAAAACAAAGCTTTGCCCTCCGTTGTGATCCTGACCTGTTACGTATGATCAATATTGCGTTAATCCTCTGCCTGACATCTTTCTCAGAAGATGTGTATGAAGTTTTACGAATAAATACACAATTTAAAGAGGAATGGGGATTTTAAGTAGGGTTAAAGTAGGGTTACACAACTAATAGCTTGTCTTCCCCCCAGGTCTTCCAATTAGTCAGATTGGCTCAGAACACATTTAGTGTAGTTATGCAGACATTGCTTTTTTGCTCCACTTTCCTATTCAGGTGTTTGGATTGACATGTGCGCATCATCAGTGTTTGAGTACCTTTTGTTTTCACATGTCTGTATGCAGCTATGCTCACGTTTCTGGCTTTATTTTGCAGGATCACAATCCTCAGTTTTCACTCCTGTGCCTGCTTTCCCCATCTTAGAATCTGTGTGTCTAAGAGGACTGCATGACGAGCATGAAAAGCTGGATATGAATACTGAAACTTCTGCAATCACTTCAGAAATCACTGACAAAGAAAAAGCCGAATCAGATTCTCAAAGGACAGGGGAGGAGGAAAGTTTGGAACCTGCTAAGAAGAAACTAAAAGGAGGCTAGTATACTACAGTATTGCACAACCTACCCTGCACTCTTTTAATTTAATGTTATTGTTGAAAGTTAGTTTAAAAAACTTCATTAGAAACTTAAACCTATGTCCCTTTGACATAGAAGCCCAGTGAGATTAACAGAAACCTAAGGATCTGTGCTTAGTTTTCTTTATTAATATGAAATGAATTCAAAATGCATGCATATCAAACCTAGAAGGTCTTGAAAGGTTCTGTTAGTGGAGGATAGGTAACTTTTTTCCTCCTCACAATGTTATTTTATGTTTTAGTATTGTATTAACTAAGAAAAGCAAAACTCCCCTCTCAGTCTGCCTCCCTGCCCAAAATTGAGTCAGGTCAGCTGTCATCAGTCCTTCTTCAATTTGTTTCTTGCTTCTTATTGATTTGATTTCTGGTCCAGTGAAAATAATGGCTTCAGTAGCAGAAGCTGTTATGTATAAAGCAAGAATCTTTAGTGGGACCATTGCCAGTGAACAGTGAATCAGTATATATCTTTCAGGTCTTTTTTTAAACACTTAAATAAAAACAAATTTTAAAAGCTTCAAAAGCTACCTTCTGTGGAATCTTCTGTCTTTGTAGATGAAGATGCTTGTCCAAATCTTTCACCAGCAGCTCCAAGTGAATGTATAATTAAAATTGGCTCTGAAGATGCAAAAACATCAAATGTGAAACCGGATAAGATGGAAGAAACGTTAACTTGCATTATCTGCCAAGAACTGCTGCATGACTGTGTAAGGTATGTATGATTGACAAAAGTTCAGTGACAACTGTTTGAGGCGGCCAGGGTATTTAGGATTTTCACAGTCCTCCTGAGTCCCTTCCCCCACCACCCCCCCCAGTCTGTACAGTCAAATCAATGCTAAACAGTTTTTTGTGTGTTATGAATGTATCTGAAAAATGAAAGCTCTGTGTTTGGACTCCATTTCTCTTGTTGTTTTCATGTTTGTGTTTTTCAGCTTGCAGCCTTGTATGCATACTTTTTGTGCTGCCTGCTACTCAGGATGGATGGAAAGATCTTCTCTATGTCCAACTTGTCGTTGTCCAGTAGAACGTATTTGTAAAAATCACATATTGAATAACTTGGTTGAAGCTTATCTGATTCAGCATCCAGGCAAGTTGAACAGTGTGTGTAACAGAATCTGATGTATTTCACACATTAGCTGCCTAATTGATGTATGCACAAACTGTTGTCTGTTAGATTTCTATGTATATTTTATTACTCTGCTGTTTTCTCTGACATGGCTGTAAGAAAACAAGTGCATTTAATATGACATAATAATCTGTTGTAATATTTCAAATATTGAGAATTGAAGGTGATTTAATACTATAACTGAGTGTGCTAAGCATTCTTAATGTTATTTTGCTACTTCATCATGAGAAGGATATCAGTTTTATCAAATAGGGCACACTGACTGATTAGGCCATCTAAACTCAGATACTTCTGAAATATATACTTGAATATGGATTTAACTAACTTTGATCATGGCCTCTTGAAAACAAAAATAAGTTGCCTGATACTACACTTCCATTAACAGAGAGGGGGATTTAACTAAGATGTTAAAGACTAAGAGTGCTAGATTTAACTAGCACTCTGTTATCCAAAAATAAGTTTTATGGAAATAAAACCACAATAATCATAACTGTGTTAAATGAAGTAGGGTGAGAATAAGGGATGAAGTGTTGGGGGTTTTTTTTAAATTTGAATTTGATTCTCATGCCAGATAAGTGTCGTAACGAAGATGATGTACGTAGCATGGATGCTAGAAACAAAATTACTCAAGACATGTTGCAACCTAAGGTGCGGAGATCTTTTTCAGACGAGGAAGGAAGTTCTGAAGATTTATTGGAATTGTCAGATGTCGATAGTGAGTCTTCAGATATCAGGTATGTCTGTTTAAGCTGTAGACTGAATTACATTTACTTATATTTGAATGCACAAATCCACAAACCGAGCTAGTTTCACAAAAGCTGTTATTACTCGTAGTGTTTCCATGGTTATTACCAGAATGAATCTTAATTTTGTTTTCAGGTAAGTTTATTCTTACCAGTAATTATTTTGGTGATTGTACTGTCCATCCTACTGAACCTTGAGCAGTCAACAAAAAAATAATTAAAATTAGAACTTCCTAGAAGTCCAGCAAGATTCAGTTTATGACCAGGTTGCTGGCTAAGCACTTGTCAGGAGGTAAAACCATGATCCTATGAGTGCAGCTGCAATGATTGTGCTTTCTTATGTGTCTGGAATGATGCTTTCACCAGGTGTATGGTACTGAAGCAGCTAATGATTGTTGCAGGGATTCCCAGGCACCAAAATATCTCCTCTTTATTTCCGACAGCAAATATTTTTTGCTGTATGTCTAGAGGGGAACAGAAGAACTCTTCATGTAGATAATTATTCCAGCTTTGTTCCTCTCTTTCTTGTTCATCTCACTTCCAGTCACATTGCTTTTCTGCACTTCTTTTTTTTATACTACTGGGGGTATACTACAAAATAAAAGTTTTTATCTGTTCCAACGACAGCAGTCTTTGCAGCTGTGAGGTACTGAGTTATGTAAACTGCCATATGTTACTGGATGAAGAAATTCCAAATTTAAACTTTGAAAGTATGACCAACCCTGTCTAGCATGGGGATACAAGTTATATTTGCATTTGTTGCGTGTGATTTCCTATGACCTTATTTTATTCTTTCAGTCAACCATATATAGTATGCAGACAGTGCCCAGGGTATCGAAGACACTCTGTTCCAACTCTGCCTGGCACAGGCCAAGAGACAGAAGCAGGAGGAATGCAAGCACTGGGAGATGCACCATCTACATCTGCCAACTTTCCTGCAGGTCAGTGTCATGAAATCTTCTCAGTAGTGTGATATTAAAATACTTCAACTCATACACCCGTTATGAACTAAGCAAGCTCACTCTCATAGTACTGCGAGAGTAACATCACTTCACATGGGTGTCTTTGCAAATATCATGAGATTTGACCATGTTTTTTCTGTGGTTGTCCAAAATAGATTGCTGATGGTTGATAGTTCTTAAACTCTTCTATGTATTTAGGTATTTTACACACCCACGTATTTTAAAAGTCTGAATGCCATTTTTCTGCTCTTTTATAGAATCTTTGTAAAAACGATATTGCTTGCTTGTTACTTTCAGATTTTTGTTGCTAATATTCACTAAGATTCCTAGTCCAGATTGCAGTTGTGTCTGTTGTTCAGTCTGTCCTTTTTTTTAATGTTTTTTTAATTCATCTAGCTGTCCAGGAATATGTGTGTCCTGCTCAAGGAAGCCATGTAATATGCACCTGCTGCTTTCAGCCAATGCCTGACCGAAGAGCAGAGCGTGAACAGAATCCTCATGTTGCTCCTCAGCAATGTGTGTACATTTTCTTAAAAATCTTGGCTGTAGAACTAAATCTCTCCTTATTTTTAATTAAACTTAAGTTTACTTTGAAGAGTGTTCTTTATTCAAATATTCTTTATCTGGACTGTTGTAGTGACAGCATGAAAGAATCTTCCTTTATAAAATTTATTTTTCCTCTGTAGAATGTATTTTAAATAAGAAAGTTGTGCTTTTTTTTTTAACGAAGTTTATCAGGGCTGTATTGTTATTGATTTATAAGAAAAATCACTGTTGAATTTTGTTGTGTGCATGTCCTTACAGGCATTTTCTTTGTTATTTTACAGGTACAGTTTGTCTGCAACCCTTCTGTCATTTATACTGGGGCTGTGCTCGGATGGCATGTTTTGGCTGTTTGGCACCATTTTGTGGTATTGTGGAATAATCTGTTTCTTATGAGCCTGCTCACTTTGCTATAATGTCTGTCTGTCTTGAACTTTAGGTAATTTAAGAAGTATAATAGATCAGTTTGTAGCATGGTTGTGCAAAAGGAAACAAAGACTATGTCCTCACATCACAAACACAAACAATTCTTGAGTCGTACGTGTCTTAACTTTGAGAGGATTTAACAACTTGTCTTCTTACCATATTGGGCTCGAAAACTACACTTGTCGAGCACAATGCTTTCCCGTATAAAAAGAATGATGGTGTATTTCAGCCTAGTAAGAGAATCATACAACTCAATGCAAGAGCACTTGAATATCTGATATTAACTGGTTAGAAACGAACCTTGCCCTCTTAAGCATGCAGACTTCTGAAACGTAAGGTTTTAGCTATTTTTAAAAAAATATGTTAGAACAGTTGAAATTACTTGGCTGCAGTTTGAAGCTAATGGAACATGTTTTAATAGCACTGTTAATTTGTGCAGATTAGTAGTAGTGTTTGTGGACTAGAGGTGAAATTATAAAAATCTCAGTGGCTTGTCTTTGCCACTGGAAGTTATATATCACATGCTTTAGCATATGTTGAATGTGGTCATTTACTTGGTACTCACACGAGCCTGTGCATGTTATTTCAGGAATCAGAAGAACCTTCAGAATATGTGTGAGGGCCATGGGGTTGGGGGAAGAAATAGTAACTTTTCTTCTTCTTGTTCTGATTAGAAATAAATCTTGGTGATAAGTGTTTAGATGGAGTCCTAAATAACAACCACTATGAGTCAGATATCCTAAAGGTATGTTTAATAATCATTATGTATGATGCATAATAATAAATGTACAAAGTTTAAGATGTACTCACTTATGAAGTGATAGTGATGTGCTGCCTAACAGTTACAGTGGCAGCATAGTATCACCTGCAGCATTTGATTCTAAAAGGCAGTTTTAATGAGCCCCAAATGTTCAGCTGGACCAAAGCTATAGTTATGGTGTCTGGATTGGAAGTATTTTGGGGTGATAATTTGGCTCTTTCAGTCTCTGTGTAAGAGGGCATCATATTCTAGAGATGCATTCCACTTAGCATCAGCTCTTCCTATACTACCCAAAATAACAACGAAAAAATCACTTTCCTGCAATCCTGATGTTTAATTTCTCCAGTGTGCATGTCTGACACACACACTGTAGAATTCAGATATATTTGGTTGTTAAATAATAAAAAAATTTTACTTCTATGAAGTATGTGTTAGGGAAGCCAGTTTCTACAGTCTAAAGTGTGGCATCTGAAATACTAATTAAGAGAAAAATAATTTACTAAAAATATACCAGGAAAACAAGGCTTGTTAAATATTTTTTCCCAGACAAGTTAAATTTCATGGTAGGTTGCACGGAAAATATTTTGCCCATACCATAACAGAGTTATCTGAATTAGCTAAACTGGATGAAATCTTAATCTTGATTTAAGGTAAATGAGAGTGTGACTGAAATGAATCTATTTGCATTCTTTTGGAAAAAGTGGGGATCTTCTGAAAAAAAGATACTGAGTGGAACGTTTTATTGGTGATCTGAAAGTGTCATGCTAATTAAGTTAAAGATACTTAATTTTTTATGTGTAATCAGCATCAACCCATTTTGAAAACCTAGTTAGATCTAGGCCGGGAAATATTTGAGGGTAAATGGCTTGGTCACTCTTTAATGTTGGAGATTTTTCTAGATTAAACACTTAAATTGCTCTTTTCAGGATTACCTGGCATCCAGGGGTTTGACATGGAAAAATATGTTAAACGAAAGTCTCTTAGCTCTTCAAAGAGGAGTTTTTATGTTGTCAGGTATGCGTTATGTTCATTTTCGTACATGTATAATTCTTTGTCTACATATAACTCAGTAATATTATCAAGAGGTTTGAGTTCTGTGTATATAACCAGTGCCATCATGACATTTTTGTTAAATCTGATTTCTAAGGCCTTATTACATTACATTATGTACAAATTGGTTTTCTCCCCAGATTACAGAATTACTGGGAACACAGTGCTTTGCTACTGTTGTGGCCTTCGCAGCTTTCGAGAACTTGCCTACCAGTACAGGCAGAATATTCCTGTTGCTGAATTGCCAGGTGGGGATTGCTTCACACAGTAAGGGGGGGAAAGTAATTGGAAGAGTTAAAATCAGTTTCATCTGTGTATTGTTGGTTTTTTTAGCACCTTCATGTAGCCCGTTGCAAATCTCTTTGCAGGGCTAATACCTTATGCTGATTGTTTCACTTGTCGGCTGCTAAGTTTCCATATAGTTACTGTCAGACTACCTAATGGAATCTTTTCTTTCAGTATGATTTCTCATCTGTAGAGTAAATGTATCTGCTTAGTGAAAAGGGGAATTCGGTAAAATCTAGAATATAGTCAACAGGAACTAGTTGCTGTAATTTAATTTATTTTCCCATTTAAATACATAAAATGATGCACCTCCTGAACAGTTTCACATTTCACCATCTCTCAGCTAGGAACAAGAATGATTTCATAAATGAATTTTAAATCTGTTTGCATTTACAGTTTTAGTATAAAATAGCATGCAAGCAACTGTGCCTCTTTCAATCCTAAATCTGTTGGGAACAGAAGCTCTTCCAACAGTCTACTTCTACTTTTGTCCGTTTAGTTCCTGTTGTTAGCAACAGCTTCCCTGTCTTTAAGTGCTGAGAATTCTGCTTCTTCTGCTGTGCATAATGAGAGACAGTCAGTCTACCTTGTTTTTCCTTAGAAGATGGCCTGCTGGACAGCTGTGTTATAGTGTATGTAAAACTGGGGGAAAAACAACAAACTCTACCCAAATTAATAAATTTTTCTTTCATATGGATATGTATCTAGACATATGCCCAGTGTCTTAAACAGTAAAGTATATCTCTGTTAAACTAAGTGGTAAAATTTCAGTTGACAGCACTGAGAACCAAATCCCTTCATCGTAAGTCTGCATGAGCCTGATATTCAGAATGAATTTTTTTATCCTTCACTAAGTGTTTGCTTTGTTTCTAGAAGGTAAAGCAATATAGTTTACTGTTGTTTCTTGCCAGTTATGTCTTGTTTCTCTACAAAGCCTACTCTGAGTAACCACCAGCAGCAGTGGCTTAATAATCTACATCACCTTATTTAATGACTTCTGTAACAAACGTAGCATTTCATTTGCTCTTTCTGTAGTGACTGTCACATCACGTCCTGATTGCTACTGGGGGCGCAACTGTCGAACTCAGGTCAAAGCACATCATGCCATGTAAGTTATACAATTTAGAAAGTGGGTTTGGGTTTTGTTTCTTCAAAAAAAAACCAAACAACAACAAAAAAAACCCAACCCCAAAAAACCCAAACCAAACAACTTTGAAGTGCCAGAAATCACGTAACACTGTTGCAGCATAAGCAAAATTGGCTGAGCTTTGGGGAGGGGTGTTTTTTGTCGTTTTTGTTTTTAACACAACCTTGAAATGAGCCCTTTGTGCATGCCAGAAGGGTACCACTAGCACTTGTAAGTTGATGTAACCCATTGCTGACACTTCATGAGTCTTGTTTTCCACTCACAACTCCCCCTTCATTCCTATTCTCCCACTGAAGCAGCTCCTCATTTGCTGTGTCTGGGTGCTTCTTAAAAACATTGTATATACAATAATTAGTCCTGTGCGATTTCTATTTGAAACTGAGAGACTCTTCTAGTGAAGTGTAACATACTTTGAAGGGACAAATTGCTGGGAATAATTTGTAACAAGAGAAGTTTGGAACATGTAACATCAGGAACCTGGCGTGGCCTAGGAGTTTCTGGTTTTGGAGGAGTTTCTAGGTCTTAATGCCTCCAACCCAAGCAATCTGGCATGTGGTGAAAATGAAATACTGAGCCCGAGAAGAGATTAACCCTCTACTTCTCAAACATTTTAATACATCTATGGGGCGTGTGCTCCTGGTATCTGGTCATTCATGAGAACTGTCCATCCAAAATAAATCAAGGTCCTTGATTAAAAGAAATCGAGGGCACTGATAACCAATGCAGTTTCATTCTTAGGAAGAGATGCATGTGTGGTAAGACAAATGTTAAAGACTTGTAAAACAAAACAAAAATGATCTACCTAAGAGCTAACTGCTTCCAGGGAGGGTAGAAAAATCCTTCTTGCTTTATGAATAATTCTCTAAATTCTCAGGGTAATTTAAGACAGAGGAGCTGTTACTCCTTATTGAGAAATTGCTTTAATGAATAGTAGATTCTGCAGTATCTTTCTAATGCTGCAATGAACATACACACTTAGCATAATTCCTTTAATATTTCAGGTACTATGGGTTGAAAATAACCAGTCTGTACAGCTCAAGCAAGCAGATCATACGAAAGACTTGTAAAATATTCATCCCCAGTCTCTTACAAATTCAGAAGATTTTACCAAATAACTTGCAAAAATAATTTGGGATTTAAGTTGCAGGTATAATTCAAAGTACCACTGCTATCTGTAACTTCACATTACAGGGCTGTCTGCGTTCCCAGAGGAGATTTTGTTTTGAAATGTGAGAGAGTTATTTCAGTATCAAAGTACTCACCAGTTGTCTTTGTTCATATTGTGGTGGATAATTCCATCTAAAATAGAAATGGCTCGGGGTTTGGTTTGTTTTGGGTTTTTTTTCCCTTTTTTTCTTCTCCTTTTTTCTTTTTCTTTTTTTCTTTTTTCTTCTGAGCATTAGCTCTTCCTAGAACTTTCCTGGCTGCTGCTCTTAGATCCTAAAATCCATAAAAGCAAACCATCCTGTCCTACCTCTCCTAGATATCCAGTTACCTTTTTTTTGTTGTTGTTGTTGAGTTAAACTGTTTTGCCAAGTAGTTTAGTTATGTAAGCAAGGTTTCTTTCTAATCTTTGATCCAATTCAGCAAGAGAGAAAATTCAAGGTCTCTTTTGCATCATCTCTTCCACGTGTATATGTATATACGAGCTCAACACCCCAGCTCCTGTTTCAGTTATGAATCAGGGGACGCCTAACCCAAGTAAGAGAAAAACAAAGCATGGATAGTGAGATCTTTTTGAGAATTGGAAGGAAGTACCTTGTACAAAATTGTGTTATCTGTTTAATTCATGAAGACAGGCTTGCCCTTCCCATAAAACCTAAATAATACCAAAGCAAAAACCTTTTTTCTTTTCAGAAGAAGATTCTAAGCCAGTGAAAGAACATGTTTATGTTGAAATGTATTATTAGCCTGGTTAATTCTAGTTCCCAGTGACTTGTGTAACGCTGTCTACTAAAAATTACTAGTGTCTCACAGGGCAAAATTAATTCGCTGATTTCTGTTTTAATTGCCTTCTGGGTTTGAAGTATGCAGAAGTATAGAGGAATGCTTTTAATAACAGGTTTTCTGTGTGCATAATAAAACTAACAAGGGTTAGGCAAGGGAGATGTTGAAAATCCTGTTACAGATAACATGGTAGTAGAGTATGATCCAAACAGGTTCTGAGAAACAGATGTTAGTGTGTAAATGTTCTGCTTTAAACTGTTTAATATTTAAAATACCTTGTGAAAATGCTGACTCTTTTGTTGCCTGACTTCTGAGAATTTTGTTACATTTTAATACTTTTTGTTTTATTTCAGGAAATTCAATCACATTTGTGAACAAACACGATTCAAGAACTGAATACTTGTAGTCTGTAGAGAGGGGACAAAAACCTGTTACACTGCTTGTACAGTTTAAGGTTTCAGGGGATCTTCTCAGTTCCCCCATAGCAGGGAATCAATAACTTTTGCATCAGGTAATCTGGTGTGAACTTTTTAATTTGTAGGATTTTACAGCTGTACATGAATAAGGTAGATTCTTTTTTCCAAGAAAGTCCAGCAAGCATTGCATTCCATCCTCATGATTGCAGTGTCCCTGTATCACTTCAGTGAAGAACAAAACAGAAATCACACACACAAAAACCAGCCATATCTTGGGAAGACCTAAGAATAAGGAGTGTATTTGCACTACTTGCGAAGAAACTAAGAAAAATCCTTAGACTTAAAATAGAAATGTTTTGTAAAATTATCTGATGGATATTTCAAGAGCCATTAATATTTAAGAAGGAAATTGTCAGTGTATATTTGTAACTGCGTTTTGCGGTAGTCTGATATTTTGTCGCTACCCATTGCATTTGGGCTAGAAACCATGTTAATATTCACTTTAAAAAAATATTCCGTCCGTTAAACAGCTGTTTCAACTTAAAGCTTCTACCATATGTGCAGTGTTGTAGTGGAAGCAGTACAGTTTCTTTTCTTAGTTTAGTCGTGTTGATGTTTTATTCACGTTAAATTGCAAAAATAATTGCACAAAAATTTGAAAATCACATTTAAACTTGGGGTAATACTTGAAGCAGAACAGACTTCTGCTAATATTACTTCTTTAGTGTTTTATATCAGAAGACCAAACAGTGCTTTTGACATAGAGCAGCCAGTAGGACACACTGGTTCATTTTTTGTATTTCTTTTTTGGTTGGATACCGTATGCTAAATATGTACCTCTGCCATGCAGCTGTTCTCTAGCATGCATACACTGGTGAAAATGTAGAAAAAGCTATAATTTAAAACAGAATACAGCAGCTTTACTGGAAGGAACAATCTTACAGGAAATAATTCAGTTTGGACAAATTGTAGCAATATGGAGGCATTTCTGGATAGGGATGATGAAGGGGAACACTGGTGTCACTGACATAAAAAAATGTAGATTTTTATTTTCATGCCTTCTGCAGAGTTTGTTCAGAAAATGTCCCAAGCATTGTTTTAACAAAAAAAAAATAAAAAAAAATCCCAACACAACCACCTCTTCAAATTGATCTGATCTGTTTCATCATAATCTGGTAGCTAATGTTGACAAACCTCAGCTGGGACCAATTTTTCTTTTTCATTGTACCTAGAAGAGTGAAACAGAATGAGAAGAAAGCATACAAAATTACCTCTGTAGATACCATGTTGTTTTTAAGTATGCCTTATTTTATGAGCAGGATTTATACTTCGATGTTAAAAAAGTGTACACGCAATATCTTGTGATATAATGGAGCACAAATGATGCAGCACATCATGTCTACTGGTGTCGGTGAACTAAACAACTATTTCCAGTAATGCACATCTTAATATGAATGCTAATTAGAATGATGCATTTCTGTTTAGATTTTTATTTTTTAAAATAGCTGTCACAAGGTTGGGTCTTTTGACCATGCCCGTATGCTATTAAGAATACACTTTGGTGTGGACTTCTCTTCCTAATCTCTGGGCATTTTCTCCTGTGAGTAGGATTGAAATTGGATCTGGAATAATACTTGAAACTTCTTTTAACAGCAGCAGTGTGTTTCTGTCTTTTAGTATTATTAACAATGTTCTGTTGCTTCTGTATTTGTATTTTATGTTTAGATATTTTTTTTTAATGGTTATTGTATCTTCTCAGGACAACCATTCCCAGCTGGTTTTGATCTCATTTTCATCTCTGGCTGTGCATGTAGCAAATTGAGTGCAGTTGTGGAGATCAAGCCTTTGCACATTATATGCAGAAATGTGCTTTGCTTTCTCATTCACCACTTCCCACACCTCAGATGGGCTTTCAGCATAGACTTGCCACTGTGCTGGTGTTCGAGCCTCTTGTGCTGAATTTTTTTTGTTGGTCAAGAATAATGTGTCTACAGTACTATGTACAACCTCGCTTGCACTTACTCAAGTTATGTTTGTATAGGGATGTATTATGTGACTTTAAGAAGCAGAATTGGGGAGAAAAAATCCAAACAACAAAACTCATGTACTTAACATCTAAACTACCTGTGCAGTAGAGGTTCTTCAAATTCCTTTTATAAACCCCTCTTCCTTTTCCTTGTTACAGATAATTAATCTGCCTTTCTATGCATATAGGGTTGCGGTAGTGCAATGGAATGAAGGGATTTTTTTGTCATTTATATTGTACCAGGAGGAGATGAGAAATTAACTTGCAGATGGGGAGGGTGAATAAATCCTGATCTTTATATGCTCTTAAGTAAGTAAGAGTATCTGTCATGGGTATTACATACTCTATACATTAGACCTTTTTAAATGTATGGTTACCAGGTGATAGTTAATGTGATAAATGTATGAACTATGCTTGGTGTAATGTTTAAATACTGTAAAGGTGCAGCATATTTTTAACCTGTCTAAAGCACACCCCCACCTCCTTTATAAGAGATATTTGGAAGCTGAGCATGAAATGTGGTAGAATAGATGTCGTGAAAACTGAGGTGGTTATGATAGGGTTTGACATAGTGGTGAACAAGGTATATGGTCTCTCGCTTTGAGAAAGTTCTTTTATAAAGAAGGTGGAGAGTAGTTCTTCCAGTTCTCTTTTGTGATTTATTTTTTTCCTGAACTAAGAAGTTATTAATTAAAAAAAAAAAAAAAAAAAAAAAATATTCACTGAAGTTGTCTGTTTCTGTTTCTTCTGTGGCATTTTCTCTCACCACAGAAATGGATGTGTGCAACACTTGCTAATGTCGTGCAGCTATTAGTTATTTGAATGTTGAGATTTTACAATTAAATATCATCCTTGAACTTGTAGTAACTGAGAATGACGTGAAGTTTGGTATCATTCCGAGAAATTCTCTCAAACTTTCTTAAAAGTGTCAGATGATAATCACAAAAGATCATCACTATCTCTGCAGGATTTTATAATAAATGATACAAGCAAAAACTATAAAATAGAATTCATTTTTGTCAACAAGATGACTTCAAGGTGCTACTAAGTAAGGAAGATCAGTACTTCAAAACAGTATCCACTTTTTTAATTTTCTTGCAACACTGTAAACACCAAAGTGATGAGCATTTGGGTTGGAAGGGACCTCTAGATGCCACTATTGATTTAACAGCAGGCTAGAGAAAATGATTGTCATATTGTGTTCATCTTTACAATTATCTAATTTGTATAAACTATAAGATTTCAAATGGCTACTATTAATAGAACTTTTTCTGAACAGAATTTTTCTCTTGCTGAGTAAATAGGAGGACTTGTCTGCACCCCATTCTGTCCGAGGTGGAAGACACTGATGCCAGAGTTGTTAAGCTTCAAATTGCAGTTTAGCATCCTAGGATTTTTGCGCTGCTGCCATTCCCATACTTGAAGCTGGATATCCTTTAATGTTGTAGCTAATCTATTTTGCTGTTCTTAAATCAGCTGTCATTTGTTCTTCAGACTAAATTTAAGAGCAACTCAAACTCAGGTTAAGTAATGTAAAAGTGAAAATGCTGTGTTATTCTGTATGCCATAAAGACAAACTGATAGACCCTAAAACATGTAGTGGTTTTGGCTTGCCCTGCATTACATTGGTGGATGTTATGTCAACAAATGATTTGTAACTAATTTTGCTGGAGGAAGGTGCTGATTTTGGATTTATGCCCTATCAAGTGATCAGTTCTGGCACAGCATAAGCTCTTCTGAGCACTTCTTCCGTAAAGGAATAAGGATGGTAGCACGATTGTGAGAAAGCGAGTTCAATACATGGCTTTGGCAGCTGCAATAGCTGACAACACACTAACCTCGACGGTTGGTGTTAAATCTGAGAGCCCTCAGTGTGTCTCAAGGATTTGAATCAGCAGCTGTGTAGGATAATTTGTGATTAAGGTCTGATACTGTTTGCCTTGAGTTTAATAGAAAAATCTTGGTATTTGACACTCAAAGTTCAATCACTAGCTCATTCATTCTGCAAACAACATATATCAAATTTGTCTCAATTTCTAGTCTTCAGTAGAACTGGGGAGTGCAGATGGCTTAGCCTACAGCAAGAGCTCAGGGAAATAAGTTGATTCAAGTAAAAGGAGTTAGGCATTTGAGAAGAGAATGCGCAATTCTAAATTATGCTCTGAAAATCTGGTTTCTTGTGGCCTCTTAGAAATTTCTGCTGGAAGGGGGCCTTATTTTGTACAGTCTGCCCTCTAAAAATAAACCAACAGTCACTAAGTTACTGGAAGTTAGGAAAAGGATCTCTTGATTTTAAAAGAACATGTGGGTTTTTTGCATTTTTTCCACCTATTTTATCTAACGTTCTTTCTGCATGATGTTTGGGAGCTGAAATACCACTTACACAATTCCAAGGAATAACTTCTGAAGAAAACTAATTATACTATTTCCCACAGCAATGCTTAATATGCAAAGATTGCTTCTAAATCTGCTTTTCAGGTCATCCTTCTTTTCTTCACACTTCACCATTTTGACTTTCAATGAGGTAATTTCACCCTTAAGCTCATTAGTTTCCATAGGAAATGAATTATAAAAAATGCTAAGTGTGCCATAGGAGGTTTAACATCAAAGGCATTTCTAGACAGACCATGAATGTATATTGAAGCTATATTTGGTCTCTGTTGGGTATTCTTTTCAGTGCTGCTGAGTTTCAGTTGCTTGCTTTCGTTAGGTAAGTGTTGGCTTAGGACTTATCTTTTTTTTCCCTTGCAATCCAAATTAATCTTTAATTGTTTAGAATCAAATCTAGTAACTGACTGGACTATTGGAATCAAATGTGTTTTGTTATGGCCCATGTGCCCCTCTCATGGGGGGAAAAAAAACAAACCGAAAAGCAAATAGTTATGCGTAGAATGCTTTGTAACCAACTGCTAAAGAGGAGTTAGATTCCTGAAAGGAAATGTCAGTTCATGTTTCTGCTAAAAATTTATAAAGGGATGTTTCTTACCAAATGCTACTCTGAATCCTCAAAGTTAGGATGCATTAGCTGCATGTTAAAGCTTTTGGGTTGTTTTCCCATTGAGCCTCCATTCTCAACCACTTGAACTACCTGACAGTAAGAAACCCAGCACATGGGATTCTTGTCAGCCTGTATAGCTTCAAGCTTTTATATTGAAGCTCTGCTTCAACAATGAAGAAATAGGCAATGCCCACGTATTTTTGTTCTATTCAGTCTACCTAACAGATTGGCTGGAGGGGTTGCCTAATATATTCCAGAGTAATTAATTCAAATTTAAAAAGTGAACATTATTCAAATCCAGTTTTACTGCAAAGAATGCTCCTTCTGTTTGTTAGCCCCATAACTTTTTTGGACATTTTTTCCCATGCAATTGTGATTGAAGTTATTTTCCTCCTCTTCAGCGAGTGTTTAGCATGCTTATCCCATTTGCTGCTTAGTTACAGGATGCAGAGCAGCACAGTGAACCGGCTGCATCGCCGCAAAGGTACAACTGAATCCCGAGCCCACGCGTCAACTGTGAGGTTTTCTGTCATTAAAAAGTGGCAGCGTAGCTCTCAGAAGCAATATAGCTGCTAGGAACAAAATCAATGCCATCAGTAATACTGTTTAAAAACTAATCCTAGTCAATATTTACAGCTGAGAGTATTAGAGCACTTCATTCTGCCTGCAACTTTTGGAATTTCTTAAATTTGCGCAGTGACTTTTTTGCAGAGTATGGGCGGAAGCTGTTTCTGTTCCTGGGTGGGAAAAATGAAGAGGAGAATTTCAAAACGGTTCCTCTAGCTGTAAGAGGAAGAAAATGTTTTATAAATTCTTTGAAGGTACAAAATAAAACAGTTAATTTTAGTGATCTGCTTAAAAAAAAAAAAAAAAAAAAAAAAGGAACTTGAAAAGGCAGGTCAGGAATCTAAGCTTAAATCTCCCATATGTTGTATTCCTGGGAGTTCAGGGCTGACCAAGAGCCAGAGGATGGTCTTTGTGTCCCGGCAGCACACGCCAGTCAGGTGTTTGGCTTCAGTACCGTCTAGTGGCAGGAGACACCACCCTTGGATGGTTTGGTGTATCCGCCACCTCTG